GTTTCGAATAAAAAACTACCACAAGTGTACGGATCGTTCAAGTAATAAAATGGATTTTAGAGTCCAAATATCGTTCCCACAGAGATTTACTAGTTCGAATTTACTTATTCCGACCTTAACCGAAACGTGAAATATGATTGATTTTGGTAACAAATTGTAGCTAAACTAAATGATAGCAATAGTGGATGAATTAGTTGAACTAAATGCAAATTATATGATTGAATGCAAATTGAGGCAACTCATAGAAAAGAAACGCACTAGGTTCGCGAATCCCCATGCAATGATCCATTTGAATTCTAGTTCTACAAAATTGACAACATGTTTGAATTGATGAAGAATCAATGTTTCTAACATATTCAATAATCTCCCTCGAGTAGAATTGAACATATTCTCGCATACCATTTGACTATATTTCTATGACAAATACAATATACAAGAATGTATGGCATTTTGTAAACACTTAGAGATTCACATAGAGCATAGCGGTATATTTCTATCCCCTATCGGACCCTACGATGATTTATACCTTGTCGAGTCTATTCACCTTCTTTCGAATGTCAGAAATAGGCTACCACACTCATACAACTATTGCGCATATAATTGTAGAGAAAAAAACGATGTATATAAATCATTTAATAATTCAAAACGCGCTTTTAATGTCAACAAAGTAAAACTAGGAATTAAAATATCACATCACAATGTTCATTGTTCACCTAACACATATAAGTCTAGCCTAGCATGGAGGAAAAAAGAAAATCAGAAAAATAGATAAAAAATGACATCACCCCGAATAATCTTGAATTAAATTTTCGCGTCGTGATGTTATTCTTCTTTTTTGTGCCTCTTTTTCTCTCTGAAAAATTTCAAAAATCTCCTCCCAGGTCTGCCTAGGGTTTGAGGACGGTTTAAGAGTTTATATAGTTACCAAAAGATTGATTTCCATAAGAGTTGGAACGAAATAAGGAAACCAGAATTTTCACGCCGGAAACCTTCCTTGCGGCCGCATGGTTAATTTCCATGCAACTGCATGGAACAAATATATTTCCACTTTTTTTTCCTGAAACCATGCTTGCGGCTGCATGGTTAATTACACCATGTAGCTGCATGGTACAATGAACTTTCAAACTCTTCATTTTTCTATTGTTTTAACCTCTTTTGTTCATTCTTTTTCTCAAATCATCCCATGCCTTTCTCAATTTATGATTAAAATGTATCCGCTCTTGAGTTGGCCTCAGGTCATCTTTTGATTATTTACATTTTGGTCCCTGAACTTTCGTTTTCGTCCTTTTTAGCCAATTTTTTCCATTTTTCCTTAAGTTTCCACCACAATCTTCATTATTGTCCTACAAACACAAATTACACAAATTAAGATTTATTTCAAACATTTATCAACAATTATTCATGCTTGTGAACCGAAATAAACGTATAAAAAAGCCTAATCATCTTACTGATAATCCAAGTATCTAACCCGACCTTCTTTAGTTCTTCCCTTGTTCACTCTTGACTGGTAGTTAGGGTATCCCTACCCCATCTCTGTTAATAAAATGGAAATCTCGAACACGAATTATGGAAACCATGGAACCCGATTACGATGATAACAAAATCGAAGTCCAGGATCCACCAACACCACCTGTAATCCCCAGTTTCTCCAATGATTTCATGAACTACAGTTAAAGAACAACTCTTTTGTTGTAGAGCTGGAAGGCTTACGTTTATCAAATCAAAATCTCGAATTGAAATTGACGAAAAGAGAAGAAGAGTTTATCCAAGTCCAACAGCAAAAGGAAGATGCTCTTTGCAATGAGATTCATAAAGTTGAGGTTTTGGTAAGAGAAACGGAGGAAATGAAAAGAGAGGATGATGGGGAGCTGAAGGAAGAAAAGAGTGTGAAAAATGGGCTTTCTCCCACAAAGAATTTTGGGGTCCTAAAATTGGCGAAGAACGGTTTAGTAAGGATCATTGAGAGTTTGGACGAGGATAGAAGAAAAATTCATGGGCCCGTTGCCATCTTCTCCACACCTAAGGAACTTTAAGATTACCCCCAGTGGATCACGAATGGAACCCATCATCTCCATCCTGTAGAAGCTACAAAATCACTCAGAAGGCACTTTCATTATCCCAGTTTCACGCACTAGACTCATCATCTCCACCCCGTAGAAACTATGAGATAACCTCAAAGGCACCTTCGGCATCCAGTGGTCACAGACTGATCATAGAACCCTGCTATGTCGAAGAATTGGAATTAAAGGTGGTTTCAGGGCTTATAGATGAAGTTGAATTGAAACTGAGTGAGTATAAGGAGGTGATGAAGAAAGAGAATAGAGAATTGGAGAATAGGGTAGTGAGTTTAACAGAAGAAAATAGGGATATCAATAGCTTGCTTAGGATTGCTTTGGCAGAAAAAGAGGCACTGAAGAAGTTAAACAGGGTAAAGGGGAATAATGAGCAGAAGAGAATTGTATTTTTGCAGATTGCAGAGAGAGGACTGCAGAAAGTCGGATTTGGGTTTATGATTGGAAATAAAGTTAATGAACAGCTGAAAGATAATCCAGAGGATAAATCAGATGGCAGTGAATCTGAAGAGGAGGCTGTTAGTCTGGTAATACTCTGCTTTTCATTTCTTGGAATAACATATGATGAATTTTTCGGCATGTCGTTGGTCTTAAGAATTTAGTTACTTTGAATCTCTCTACAAACCTAGTAATGAACGAATGGACCTACCACCATAATCATATTTCTCTAAGAACTCGTTTAAGAAAAATGAAGCCATCCTCTTTTTTTTTCCAAATATATTTGCAATTGCTCTGATTTTCATTACCATTCTTACCAGGCTTCTACTGTCGAGAAGATTACGAAGAATTTACGACTTGAAATCACCCAATTGAGGACATCTTTGGAAGAATCGAGGTATTCCATTTGCCATGCACACTTTCTTTGATTGCACTAAACCATTATTTGAATTTTTTTTATCTAGTCGTGCTGATTTCCTAGATTTCATTGTGAACAAGAATCAGTACGTCTCACTGAAAACGGCTAACTAATACATACATGAAAAAATAATGTTATTCATAGTCAGCGGCTGTAGTAGTCATTTTTGTGGCAGTTTATTATTTGAGGGATTAGTTTCTTGTAATTCTGTTACCTCAAATAACAAGTTACCACATAGTATGACTATTGTAGTCGTTGACTACGAATAACATTACTCTATATGAAATTTCAAATGTACTACCAAGTAAAAATTTACCTCAGGGACTTACTCTCCCAAAACCCAATCAACAGGTAACAAAATCGAAAACTAGTTTAGGCACTTAACACTCCATTTTGTCGATAGATTAGCTGTCATAAACTTGGTTATCTATTTGTGATACTACCAGGTCAGATGCCTTGTGCCTACAGAGTATTGCAGACAAGCAAGCTAAAAAATTAGCAGAAGACGCGCTTCGCATTGAAAAGTTGGAGAACAGAGAAATGTTGTTAACCGAAAATGTTAGTTTTTCATTATGAAGGACCAAATTGTTTTTCTTTTTTTCTTCTAATCTCATTGTATCATATTTGACTTCATCATATTCTGTTATTTTATGCAAGGTCGAAGCATTATTAGCAGAAATCAAGGAAACTGTGAAGAATGTGGTACAATGACGATTGGGCTTTGGCTGCTAAATGGGCTGAATATGTATGTTGACTGGTTATTGGGCTGGACTTTTAATTGTATTACTTGGTGGCCCCTGTTCTGTTTTTGGAGAAAACGTGTTTCTGTTATTGTACTTCAGTTGATGCATTTTTCTTGAACATTGGACGGTCGAGATGTCATCAAGTGTCGCCCCAATATCCGTTGGATGGTGACCTTCTGGAGACTTCTCTAATATACTAGGGTTTGAGCTCTTTTGACAATTCAGACTCTCATTCTTGCTCTCTCTAACTCTCTGTTCTCTCTTACGTCGTTCTTCTGTGTTGCACTCTGTAATCCAAATCTCTTGTAAATCGATTGTTGTATAGCTTGTGTACATCTCTTGAGTGATCTGTAGTGAGCTGATTTTGTATCCTTGTGTGGATTCCTTTTTCTATTAGAGAGAGTTTCATTACTGTGAAGATATCTTGAGTAATTTTTGCTGAGTGCCTTGTGTAACTTTGAACGGACTTTGATCCTTGGTTAATAGAGTGATTTCTTCCGGTTGGGCGGAAGTTTAAAAGGGGATTAGGATTTATTCCGAACATCTTCCCTTAAGGCGAAAACTCTTTGTGTTCCTTTACTGTTTTTGTTCTTTCTTGCACATTTATTTTGTTATTGTTGGTTTGAAGTTGCTAATAAGTGCTATTAAATCTCTACAGTGGTATCAGAGTTTCAGGCGGTGGTTCTTGGCTTTCGATCTATGCAGACATTAAACTAATTCGTTTGATTCGTTTATTGCTTTTGTTTCTTGAAACCCTAATATAGGGCTTTTGGTGAGTTCGTTCCAGTTTATTACTGAATGCACTGATCTTTTGCTTATACTTTAATCGTGTTTTGCAAAAACGTTTTTAAAATTGGGGTTGAGACTCTGCTTGGCAATACCTTTGTCCAGAGACCCTTGAGTTGTCTTGATTTTTCGAGTCAAGAATCTCAATTAAAAACTCTGCATGTGTTCTTTAATTCCATATATTGCAACAGTGATGATCTATGCTATTTCTTGTAAGTTGTTACAAGAGCAGTTGAATGTTCTTGCTTGAAAATTGAATTTGTGAATTATTGTACATAGTATATACATTCTACTGGTTGTATAATTTATGTTTTTCTTGTCTCTTGAGTGTAGACATTTGAATTATTACCTGATTGTGTATATTCATGGTATGATCTGTCTATTCTGCATTCATTAGCCATACATTCAAACTTTTCATTATGCATTCTTCTAAATTTGAATTGGAAGTTTTTAATGGCAAATGAGATTTTAGTCTCTGGCGCTAGAAAATGAAAGCTCTTTTACTTCAACAAAAGTGTGCAAAAGCCATTGATGAATCATGGCCTACTGATATGGAAACTAGTAAAGTTACAGAACAAGATGAAATTGCATGGAGTTCTATTTTCTGCACTTGTCTGATAATGTGCTTAGAGAAGTAGGAGAAACAAAAACTACTGTTGAATTGTGAAAGAAATTGGAGGCTATTTATTTGAATAAAACTATGCTAAATAAAGTCTACCTCCTAAACAGTTTTTTGGTTTTAAACTTGATCCATTTGTTTGACCTTGATTCTAATATTGATAGATTCAACAAATTAACCCGCGACCTAACCAACTGTGATGAGAAACTCTCAAGTGGACAGCTGGCTATGGTTCTATTAAATTCAATAGGTGATAAATACAAAGATGTTAAAACATGCTATTGAATATGGTAGAGACACTCTAACTACTGATGTTATCATTAATGCTCTGAGAACTAAGGAGTTAGAGTTAAAATATGATCGGAAAGAGTCTTCTAGTGGTCTGAATCTGATGGATAAATCTAAGTTTAATCCTAGAAACAATTATGCCAATAAGAAATTTGGACACAAAAAGAAAGGGAATCAAAAAGATAAAATGAAAAGAAAAGGTAAAAATATTTTTATTGTCAAGATGAAGGTCATCTTATCAGAGATTGTCCCAAGAGGCTTAGCGATAATAGAAATAAGTCTAAAAGTGATAGTGATATAACTTTGGTCTGCAATAATGAAACTGATATAGATGAAGTCTATGTTGCTGTTGCCCATCAGTCTAGTCAAGAGTGGATTCTTGACTCAGGTTGTACCTATCACGTGTCCTAATAAAGAATAGTTTTCTGATTTTGAAAATGTAAATACTGGCCAAGTTTTAATGGGTAATCATATGGCATGTCAAGTTAAGGGCATATGAACCATCACTTTAAAAGTAGAGGATAATAATATGTTTGTCTTAGAAAAGACCAGATATGTTCCTGACCTTCAAAGAAATTTGATTTCTTTAGGTGTGTTAGATGACCTAAACTATGACATTATGATTAATGCGGGATATATTAAAATCTTGAGGAATTCCCACTTGATTGTGGAAGCTCCCAAGAGACATGGACTTTACATTTTGCAAACTCAAAATATTTTTGACTCCAGTTCAACAGCAATTTCTGTTTCTAANCATTGAGAAACTCAGTTTTTGTGACTATTGCATACTAGGAAAGCATAATAGATTACCATTTTTGCCTGGAATGCATAAATTTGTGCCTATTCTTGAATACTTACATGTTGATCTTTGGGGACCAGCAATGTGCCTACTCATACTGGTTTTAGATATTTCTTGTAATCATTGATGATTTTTCTAGAAAGAATTGGATATTTTTGTTGAAATCTAAATCTGATACTTTCAATGCCTTTAAAAATTGGAAAACTTTGATTGAAAACCAGATAGATAAAATGGTAAAAGTATTAAGAACTGATAATGAACTTGAATTTTACAATTAAGTTTGATGATTTGTCTAAACTGCATGGTATATTGAGACACAGAACTGTTGCACACACTCCACAACAAAATTGCTTGGCTGAAAGAATGAATAGAACTTTACTTGAAAAAGTCAGATGCATGTTATTAAGTTCTGGT